CTAAGTATAAAAGGGAACTCTAGTTATATACTATTATAAAAGGGAGGTATTAGTATCTTATTATTAAGCAGACAAATAAGCTTAATATCTTTAAATAAGTACTTAAATAAACATAAATAAATTTATTACTTTAATATTAAAATAAAACATATAATAAGTGACTATTGCTTTATTTCCTAAGGCCTAACTAGACCTCTAAGGTCTAAAAGGGTATCCTCCTCCTCCAGAGATCACAACACATATATGCGTACCACTTAGCAATAAGGGCAAATCTGAACAGACTGCAAGACGTGAAGGATACACCTTTTCTAGTTTGCTCATGGCCCTGATCAGGCTAAGGAGGACCTAGAAAAGGTAGTATCTCACGGTCTAGGCGTTGGGGTAGTCACCTGGGGTAATCGGTCACTCCAGGTGCACTCGTGACGATACTGGGACCTCGGTGTTTGGTGTGGTTTGTGTGTCAACTACCCACTTGCTGGCTTCCTTTATCCCACGCAGTTTCAATATTAGGAAATTCAAGGAGCAATTAACTGTGGCATAGGAAGCTATTTCTCAGGAGAAGATTTGGGCCTTAATTGAGTCACTGCTGCGGCGCCTTGAAGCAGTAATTTGGGCATAAGGTTAGTATACACGTTATTAAACAGAGAACTCAGGGCTTTATTTTAACTATAGTCATGCTATACAAATCTAGAATCTGATGGTTTTCTGGGCGATAGAAGTGGTGCAGCGAAAATGCAGGTGGCTGGGAAATATGCGGTGTCTTCAGACTAATGGGCCCCCACTGTAGATAACATGCAGACTGGCAACAATTGCCCGCAGGTTAATAGGTCTCGACCACGTGTATGTTGCGACAGAGAGAGAAATTGGCCTCCGTGATTCGGACAGGTCCGATCCTCTGTCATTTGCGCGTGGTAGCAAACCGCATATACCATCCAAATAAAAAGTGTATACGGCCAGGAAGATATCGACTTAATCCAACATCCTAGCATGCGCAGAGACACCTGTCGATATGCCCCTCTGCTTACCCCACCATCTCGGTGCTTAGCCACCTGGCATTCTTCCAACAGGGACAGACGCTCTTGAACTTTCTTATTCTAGGGGGCACGCGCAGGTGAGCTGAAAATGCTTGTACACGATGTGTTTACAGAAGACCGGTTTAAAAGCTCTGACTAGGCGCCTAGTTACTACAGATGTGGGCCTGAAAAAACTCCTGTACAAGTAGGTACGAAATTTTATCAGAAGATACAAGGGTCAGTCTCAATTTCATTTCTTTTCCAGAGGCATGTAGTTTCAATACTAAGTACTGATAGTGTTGGCGAGGTGACTCTGAACTTCACCCTGGCCAGAACTTTGAACCGGTCGTCTTTACAACCTACGAGAGAGATCGGCGCAGAGTATCTCACTGGCTCAAGGACATGAAAATATGTAGATGTACGTTGGCGTGTTTCAGGGAGGAGTCTCCTAGATTTGTGTGACTAGGTTGATTGGCTCAGGGCCTCTGTTTCGATCACCCGTCCGTCTTATCTTCTCGAGGGGGTTCATATATGTTTTTTGTCTGCGTCAACATACTGTTGTCATCCTGCTGGTCCAACGACAAGTGATCCGGAATGTCTGTCCCACAAAATGAAAGAAGGGGTTGTGTAGCCAGAATACCTCGAGCTCTCATGGAATGCTCTTTTAGTTGTTCGTTTTGGTTCTCGTCCGATGAACTGCTTCATGGTGACATTTTGGGGGTTGTCGTGTCTCCCTCCCGCTTTTCTATAGGCCAGGCCAGTTTAAAAAAAAGTGGAGTTGGTAATTGTTGAGGCAAGGGCAATTAGAGGCAACAGGAAAATGGCAAGGCACAGCCCGGTCAGCCACAACGAGGGGCATATTCCACTTCACCTTGCCGCTGGCCACAAAGTCAGAGTTCCCATCTCTATTCCCGCAACCAATAAGTATCGTCACCACTTTTGATGTGACCGTTGCTATGACTCGCACGAGTATCGGCACCTGTGAGACCAACAGTAACGGATTTGGAGGGCAGATGCACACTTTTGCGTCTGGCGTAATCAGGGGCAAAGCCAAAGTTAAGCCCTTTGCTTAATGTGGCTTCTAGTTAGACCTCGCCCCAGCCACAGTCAGCATGCTGCAGCGAGCGTGGTACATTATTGGCTTTGGCTCTAGAGACCATGGGTGTGTCTTCACAATAAGGTATCGAAACAATGTAAAGCCGTTTCAGATGATGCCACACTTAATGTGTGTCTATAGTCACAGTTGCCTTGACCAGCACGATGATATTAAGATCATAAAGATTTTTATATTTGGGAGTGTGACGCTCATGCTGGCAGATTCCTTTAACTTTTCTTGAATAATCCAAGATCAGCCCTACGCTCTTGTATTATCCAAGGCCGGTGGTTCGGTTTCATTCATTCGTAAGCTAAGACCTCTACATGTGGGTCTGCTTTATCAAACTACGAATGGACGAAAGAAAACCAAGAACACCAAAGAATCCTGGTGGGTAACAAATGGATATCCTACGTCGAAACACGGCCAAGCTGTCTCTCCTCTCTGCATAAGCGCAGCAGATGGCGCGAGAAATAAGTCGCATCCAAAGGCGATGAATAGACAACGGGCTGAACACTGGGCAATTTCTTTAAATGGAGACAATCCATCTCTCAAATCCATGCCGTACACCACTCTGGACGCCGCTAGTGCAAATCAAACACCAGACATTCCGCCCGAAGTTTGCACGGCCCACTGCGATTCTATTACCCTGAAAAGACAGTTTCTAAGGATGAGACGCTATGCCAGCGTGCCTGACTGGACGCCACAGTTCAAAATACCCTTTGTAGAGTCCTCGTCTCTAGGGGAGGCGGCGGCAACGCGCCGGGGTGCTGGAGCCATATCGAGGCCCAGAGATGTAGATGGACATGGTCAAAAAACCTCTCCTTTCATTTCCTTCCACCCGTCTGAGAACACCGAAGCTCCCAAGGAGGCAGTTTCATGGACATCCGTTGAGCTGGCAAAACAATGACACACAACATACAACACCAGGTATTCGCTGGTCGTCACCGACCCAACTACTAATCCGGCCCTCACTGGCTTATCTATGGGAGAGCGGACGGGATCCCGAGTTCTCCAGTGGGTATGGTCGTATGTGCTGAAACCTGGATCTGACAGAGACTATAAATTGAGCAGAAGTGGCTAAAGATGCTACCGGGGTTCCGGTTTTAGTTGTTAGGACATAACTAAGATCAAATTGTCATATCCCGGATCATGTCTCACTTTTAACTCTCCTCCTACTGTTGTCCCCGCTCCCGCATCAGAGGAAGTCATGGGTGCTTCCTGTGAAGACATACATCTGCTGTCTGGCTATCACCCTCGTCTGGCGGCACACGTACTAAGTACCTCGCACCATATCTTCTCGGCCATTGTCTTCCCTCTCAACAAACGATTTCCTGCATCTCACGGGTCCGGACCTGGAACTTAAAGAAGAGAGCTTCTGATGGCATGTCATTGAAAATGAAAGTTTCAAGCTTAACCAGGCTCCATTACAGATGCTAACGTAAATAAAAACAAAAAACTCTGGCCGGCAGTAATTTATACCTCTAATCTCACAGCAAAGAAAATTATTACTAAAGCGGTATAAAAAACTCGCCTAGTCTTTAATACGTTACCACCGAGCTCGAGGTCGTAACTCCCCCGGATGCGGAAGACAGTCGGGACCGCTAGGGGTACAGGCAGAGTAAGCTCCCTTCGACTTGACCCTGATCTGTTTCTATCTCCATGGGAACCCATTACAGAGGCTTACAGTGCTCTACCTAAGCAACGAGGGCATTCCAAACCACGGTGAGCTGTCCTTCCAACCCCAAGCACCCAGCACGATGGGCCAACCCAGGTCTTTGAAAACGGGATAAAAGTTGTGAGCTTTGAAACCCAGTTTGAGGGCCTCCTCGTACTAGTGTATCGTCTGCTTGAAAGGAATGAGTTCATCAGTCTGGGGTGAAGACACTAAGTAAAAATGTCAGTAGCTAGAAGGAGACTGAGATACTGCTCCATGGTAGGAGGTAAGGATCTTCCCATCTGCAGCCCGGGCATCAGACGTATCTGCGTATGTACTCGAAACGATCGACTTAACCTCCCGAATTGTTTTCTTGAACAAAGACGGGAAGTTCTAAGAGTTGAGGATCTTTCTAAGATGCAGAAGGATTTTTCTCAACGAACAGCGTTAAGTTTCCTTTATTGACTGCTAACCCAACCACCAACACCCTAGTACAATGTCGGTCCCCAATGGCAATGCTCTTAACGACTACAACAAACAGATGAAGAGAACTTAGACCAGATCGAGATCGAGATTCAGAACCAGAACCAGAACTAGAATGACGAAGAGGAAGGAGTTCAACGAGTCAATCCTCTTTGGTGACATTCAATTCCCTCTTTTGACAAGACAAGGCAAAAGGCTATCAGTCGGCTTCGACTGATACACCCCACTAAGCCTTCCTCATGCAGTCACAAGGAACCCCTCAGTTACGCCGCTCTTCGCTTCGACACTGGAACTACCCCAGGATTCGGGTCCCTCCATGGGGAATGACTCACCGACACGACCACTCCCACTAATCCCCAATAAGGAGTCGATCAAAAACATGACGCCTGGCTCCAAGGCTTTGCCTAACGCTGCACCGCAACTTGGGAAGGGATTATAATCTAGCATCTTATCGCAACTGGTAAATTTTTTGCTGTGTGCTTGGTGAACGGCTAGCTACCTATTTCTATTCCATTTCTACTCGAGACCTATCACAATCCCGATGACTCGTTTTACTAGAGTTCATATGCCCCACATAAACTCTGAAAGGCTGGATTTCGCGTCAATCTCACTGAGTGCCTTGATGACATCACAAGTAAGACACGTTCGCGCCAAGTGACGCTTCCCCTGTCTCCCGCAAAAGTGTTGGTCGACAAGGTCCATCATCACCTCCGCTGCGCAACGGCCAAGCACTAAATTGTGCTTCAGTAGGTTGCTATGGTACTGTGTACATGCCCATTTCGTCAACTCGCTCGTCGCGTCGTCTACCAAGCTTGCCAAGGGTTTCAAGGAACTTGCTGCATAGCATAAAAACCGCAAAAAAGTTGAATCGAGCAATGGGACGTGGGCCATCAGGCTCCAGAAGCACTCTGGCTTTGGACTTCTCCATGTGCTCGGAAGGGCTGGCTTTGGCTGTGGCTTCCTCGATCTTGCGGTATGTTTTATGCTCCGAACCTGACTTGTATGGAATACCATGAACTGCACCCTGGAACCAAGGGTCTCTGTCGTGATTAGTGAAGTGTTGGTCAAAGAGCAAGCAGTCAACCTCCATATCTTCTGGTAGCTGTGTAAATCCGACGGTCGGGCTGGATGTGCCTCTTTTATCGTGTGAAGTAGAGCCCTTATTGATCTTGCTGCGGTAGACGATACGGCGATATGTGGAGCAAAAGTTTCGATTGGGCAAGCTTCCACGAAAAACGGAGTCAAGAAACAGCTGACAGAGCTCATCAAAGATTGAAATCTTTGGCGTGTCAACGCCCGAGTGACGCATGGCGTTGTAGAGGTGAATGGTTGCTGAAATGCTGGCCCAGTCCGAGTTGACTCGGTAGCCGGACATGAACGGCTGTGTGAGCATTTCCAACATGTGGCTGCCCGCTATCCAGGGCGAGCGAGGTGTGGTAAATGTCGAACCTTTTCTCGCTGAGATACCCTCCAAGCCCCTGGTGGAACGATTGCAACGTGGTGTACCAGTGTCTGGCTATTTTGCAGTCTCGTACCATTGGTTTCATTACCCCCATGACAGGGAAGATGCTAGCCTGGATTTCGACGGCAAGGCGGAGCGCTTGTAGTCGACATTGACTGCGAACCAGCTCCGCGTCCGAAACTGGGAAAGCGTCCTCTGCCAGGAAAAACAAGTCAAGAGCTGACACAAGTCTTGCCGAGGCTAAAGGCACACTTTGAGAGAGAAAGTCTCTTGCAACGAAGAAAAAAGGCTCGCATATCGGCGTGAAACACCCACACTTCAGCGGCTTCATATCCTCCATTGTAAATGTGGACTTCTGGTTTAGCTACGTCCAAGGCTTTCGTGAACAAGTTGCGGACGAAGTCGGGTTGGGCAAACATGTTGATGCACACGTCGGCAAATCTTGGTGGCATACCCTGTGCAATGTTGTAGAAAGCGAAGTTGGCGAGCCATGCCGCGAACCAAAGCGGAATGATACCTTGAGCAGCATCTTGCCAATACTTTTTCAGGAGATAGTGCACTGTGTTGAGTTCCTAAGTCCTGATCAGCTGTTTCTCTCGACATTGACGAAAGTTGGTGGAAAGACTAACTGTGAGGAAGTGGGCTGCGTCAAACACTTCACGAAGCCAATCATCCTCGAGCCTGAAACTTGATGATACGGATGCGTTTGTAGGCCCATTTGCATCCAATGGCGAGAAATCCGGAGAGTTATGTTGCTTGTGATTGGTGCATGTGGGAGCGGCGTGGGTCTCTGTGCCGTCGTCGATGACCGGCAGGTATGTAAAAAGGTTAGGCACTCCGAGTCTGTCACAATATCGTCCGTCGTTTGAGCAGAATTCCCGCTCCTCCTTCAGCGGTTCCAAGATGGAAAGGGTCTCCTCAAGTCTATCTCTGTCAGTCGGCGTAAATCCTTTCGCTAGGCATGTGTCGATGAAACGGACCGGAGAACAAAAGGTTCATGACCATGATCAGCAGCACCGAGCTTCTGGTAGATGCTGAAGACGTTTTTGCGCTTCGTAATGGCATCCCTTAGAATGCCAATGACGGAACTCGGGACAGTCGATTTGGCCTGCTGGAGAACCTTGGCTGCCTTGAGAATGTCGCTGGTGGATTCGAATTTGCGGCCTCCAGCGGCTTGCGGTTCCTCAAGGTGGTACTGACACCAGAGCCATGTCAAGAGAGAGTTGGTTGACGCCTTGTAAGATTGGTACAACTTCGAGAGGGAGTCTGTGTCGATGGGAGTCATGTCGAAGGGCGCTGATGGTGAGGCTCCAGCCTGGGCGAAAGGAGGTGAAGAGGCAGGGAAGTAGAAGAAATAGAGAAAGGAGAGTAATATGCCACCAAACCTTCTGAAGACTGGCTGAAGCAATAGTGAAGTCTTGTTCAGCAAGTTCCGTTGTCTATCGGATTATTTCTCATAAACCGCCTTGAACAGGAAACTAAAACCAAGTGAAGGTGGCTTGACCTCACCTTGCTTGTCTCTGTCATTTCTGCCTGCATAGTCAGGCTCAAACTCGGCTCAAGGAAATACCACATTGCCCTTTGCCCCCTAGAAATAGTGTCAGGTTGCCCTAAAAAGAGCAAGATTTCAGATACAAGGTACTAAAGGTGTATCTCGTTTTGCATACAAGCTTTTGGCCACTCCACATCCCACTTCTTTGTATCAAGTCTCCCCATTACACCATAGTTCCAAAGACAATATTTGGATACATTGTGTCACATCATGACATGACTCAAGTCATTGGGCGCTTATTGACATTGATAACAGTCCTCATTAGTCACTAGTAGGTCTTATGTTGAAGGGGATCTTGACCTGGAAGAGAATCTTCAAGAGCTGTTGTCATCTGTCAATTCCAGCCACGTTCAAAGTTCCGATACCATATATCCCACTGTAATACACATCAACCACATTGGCGCAGATGCCTTCACTGAGCCCAGCGGCATTGTTAAGATGGAGATGGCCAGGACGGCGGAGAAGCGTAATTAGTATCACTGGGGCCGGAGGCCTGTTGTAGCTCCTTTAAACCGTGAAATGCGTCCGTTTCGCCGACCAAATGCCCCGGGGTGCCTTGACCCCGATTCAAATCGTCGCAGACCAAATGAGACAATGCCATACAGGACGAAAGTGGTGTAAAGTATAGAGCACAGCGTGCTCTGCCAATGCCACTAGGAGTGAGACAGGCTGTCGCCCTCCTCCATTACAGGCGCAGGACCCACGGATGTGACCAACTCTGACGCAAACGAAAGCACGAGTGCGAATGGAGAGTTGTGCCAGTACACGGCGGCGGCACAAACCGCTTCGAGACTGGAATGCCCGAAGCGCATCGCTGCGGGTGCCGAGGTTGCAGGTCCCGAAGGCCCTCGGGATCCATTTGCACTGCGGTGGGATTTGTTTGTGCTGCGATATTTGCGACATTTGCGACATTTGCTGATGGCCGCGCGTCGGGGTCTGCGGGCATGACCAGACGAGGGGGCAGCTGGTTTTGCCGCCGAAGGCTGCCAATGATGACGACACAGGGAGACGTTTGACACTCGGTGGACTGGGCGGGGGACGCTGAAGGAGAGCTATGATCGAGATGGGAGCTTCCCTCATGTTGGTCCGTCATTCTGGCTGCCACCACTTGCGTGGTGGAGTGGTGGTGTGGAGTGGCGTTGACTGAAGATGGGGGAGAATGTGATGAGCCGGCACGAGTGACGGAAGCAGATATACCGCGAGGCAGATTGCGTCCGTTGTCCGAGTCGACTTCCACGGCTGCTGCATAGCAGGCACTAGTAGCAGATTCTTTCTGAGCATTGCCCATGTGGCCGAGGCCGGTTTCCTGGATTTTGAGGTAGCCTAGAGCTAGGAACATGAGGTGCATGTTGAATGTGAAGGTCTGGGCGTTTGCATGATACCGGCCGTGAGAGCTGTAGGCAGACATCATCAGGTGTGAAATAGTCGGAGACAAAAGGGATAAGCACAGTCAGTGCAGACATCTGAAAGTTAATGTGAAGTCAAGTACAGTAAGGGGGCAGAAAAGGCAGTCGTGTCCCGGCACTCAAGGTAGGCAGGTAGGTACGGCATCCAGGTGTGGAAGATGCGCGCAGGAGGATGCAAATGACTTCACCCAGCACATAACTGCGATTCTGACTACCTCGCCTTAAGACAGGTACCTATGACGGAGACTGATATTGTTTACCTTTTGTTCTGCATTGGGTTACTTTACCAATCTCCCTCCTCTTGACATACATACCCTACGTTCTACACCCTGCAACTCACAACACCGAGCATGCAAACCATACAACCAAGTGTGAGGCAATATGGCTTCCCACGAAGGGCAGTCCTCCAGTCCTCCAGCTTCCCCTACTACTCAGGCCTCTCCTCCTACCATGCCAGAGACCATTCTGATGGAGCTCATGAATCGATTTCCTGCCAAGGAAGCCGGCGCTGCCACGGTGCGTGCCTGGGTGGCACAGCTCATCCAACGCCGCGACCTTTGCCTTCCGACTAATTTCCAGTTGGCCTGGACCGGGCTTCGAGCTCCACCACGAGAACCTGTCCCACAACCACGTCAAGGACGTTTTCAAGCTCTACGACTATGACGATCTCACCTCCTCATATCTTGCGCACGATCTCCTGGTCTGTCGGAAAGTAACACCCTGCCGCTGGTGCATTCCCTACCTACTCACCAGAGAAGGATCTCATGGCCACTGACCTCTTGTACCTGCCAGGGCAACGACGATGCCCGAGAAGATGCTTTGCAGAACGGGGCCCATGGCCCCCCGCCCCCGCGTATGCAGCACCGCAAGATACGGCCCCGCCAACAAAGGAGTTTCTCGGGACCAGGTTCTCCTTGCTTTCGCGGCTGCGTTCATCATCTTCACCATCTTGGCACTGTGGAAGGGCCGGGCATCATCAGGCGACGTCTTCTGAAGGCGATAACCCCGCCCGCTCGTTGGATCAAATTATGAAAGAGAGAGCATATGGAAATCTCGGATATTGTTCATCGGCTAGGAAAGGATAGCTGACAGTGGTTGATAAGCGTGTAAGAAGGACTGGATGGGCGTGTTCTACATCTCAAGAGACAGGCGGCAGGCAGCCTTGCGCGCTCTGGCCGCTCTAGAAGTGACTACCTAGCTAACGCAATTTCAGGCGGCTACTGTGAAGCTATGCTTCCGTTGACTTCAAACCTGCAACTCATCAGAGGGCCATCATCGCCCGGAGTGGTTTCATTGAGCTACCCCAAGTCTTTAACGACACCTGACCAAGAGCATACAGACGGCTCCCAAGTTGAACAAGTCAAACAAGGGTTCTTCGTAAGGCCATTACACCCGGCAAATCTAGAAGTGCTGAACATGGCCCGCAACGGGAGCGTGGACGAGATTGGCTATACTGAGTCGCGGATGGTAGGCACTAATGTTGGTCTATTCCTTGGACACATCTCGCACCCATCTTTATCCTCCCAAAGCCATGCCGAGGTAGGTTATAGCCTCTCGTAACTCCTTGATGGCGAGGCTGCGCGGATCAGTACCAGCCATCGTGCCCGTGACCCTTGCATTAGCCAAGTCAGTAGCAACTGTCATGTTGTTGGCTCCATGATGTAATTGTTGCGAATTGGGTTCTACTGGCGCACAACCGTCGTGGAAGGGGATGCGCACGTTGACGGTTGAATCGATGGCGGCCTTGCCAGTCAATGGACCACACGTGCCGCAAAGAATGGCGAAGCACTTGCAGAGTTTGGGCGATGCCTGCATGACGAACCGCCAAACATGCTTCTCCTTCCTTTCCTTGGCAATCATGGCCATCATGGCCTTGTGGTCTCTGGTATAGCCTTGGCCCTGCGCCCGTAGGTCCGCTATCCGTACGACGTCCAGACGTCCGAAGCACCAGCGCAGCTCGTTCGCCGCCCATTGAATGCCCCCTAGGATATGTCCCCGCTTGGGGTTGTCGCGGGAAAGATCGGACAGGGCCGTCAAGTCGTCGCAGAGGGCGTGGAGGGTTGGCCTGAGCTTCGCTAGAACCTCGTAAATCGCATCGACTCCGTCGCTATGTTCGCCTAAGATCACCTGCGTGCGTGGCTACCACGTCAGACTGGGAGACTTGGTGGGGATGGGGTTAGGAGGCGATTGGAAACGTGCTCGCTACTGACCCATGCCTTGCCCTCAACCTCCATCTTGTAGTATGAATCGGCCCATCCTCTTGCCGATGGAACCTTTCGCGTGCGCGTCGCAGCTTCGGTGTTGATCTCGTTGGCTCTAGGATCGTCGAATGAGAACGGTATAGCATCGCAATGGTAGAGCCGCGAGCGCTTGGCGGTGCCTTGTGCTACGTAACATGAATTCATCGCATCGGGAGGGGTTGCTGCGCAAAGACGAAGAGCGAGACGGGAGGTACACGCCAGAGGGCAAGCAGTTCCGGTATTCTAATTGCGGCGTCTTCACGTTGAAGTTGCCACTTTGCCATACATAATGCCCTCAAGTTAGCCATAAGCTGCGCCGTTGGCCGTTGGTTGGTTGGTTGGTTGGTTGGTTCGACGGGAAGTTGTTTGCTTCCTATTTTGCAGCTTTTCCGAGCCTAACGGTACGAGGGCAAACATGGCGAATGAAGAACAGCCGCGGTTCGGCCTCTAGTTCCGGTAACGACCGCGCGAACCTGAGATGGGTGCATCGCGGCGTGAGAATTGATGCATCGTGTGGAAGCGTGCTAGGGGGAGATGAAGCGTCGTTAAATAAGGTCGCCAATAGAGGCGGGATTGGCGCTAGGTAAGAATCGCTAGCAGTGGTCCCGCCACGGGCTTACACAGCCACGTGACGCCGCTGACTGCGCAACCGCGCCAAGCTGGGGCGAAAAAGTACCGCGTGCATTCCCCTGGATGTTAGTCAGAGAGGCCCTCATCTGCAACCTTTTCCCGGCTCTTCATCTCTGCGGCGCAAGTTCCAACTCCACCTCGCCCCTAACACCACGGATATTACTAAGAGCCTACTTGAGCTCCTTAGATTCATTTGCAATGGGACTCAACGTAAGCATCAGACTTGTCTACACACCAAAGCCTCAGATAATGTGCCGCATATCTGCCGCCCGATTTCTATGGGGGAAAGAGAAAGAATCAAAACCCGTCGACTGTCCATTATATCCAAAATAATTGTCTGGAATTGGCACATACGACCATACCCACTGGAGAACTCGGGATCCCGTCCGCTCTCCCATAGATAAGCCAGTGAGGGCCGGATTAGTAGTTGGGTCGGTGACGACCAGCGAATACCTGGTGTTGTATGTTTTTTGCTGCCTTCAGATTCTGTCTTTTTGTGTTCTTTGGGACAAGCACACCCAACCGCCAGGAAATCGCGAAGCGAGTGTCGTTCGGAAAAAATTGGTTGTTCCAAGATAGCGAGTTAGAGAACTCTTGACGACGCGCCACGCGACCGAGGGCGTCGATCTAGAGGCCAAGATGGTTGACTAGTGCATCTGCATCAGCGACTGGAAAATCGAGCTCGCCGCTCGCAATGCCGTCAGGGCTCAGCCGGTGCAACGGGCCGCCGTCGCATTGTATATGATGTCCTCATACCGTCGTCGCTTTGCTGTAAGGGCCGCTGATGCAATCCGTCCTTGTACTCGAGAATTTCTAGCTCACTTATTTCATGAGAGCAAAATCGGAATCAACGCAGACATAACACTCCTGAGTCAATGAGATGTGAAGTCAAGCTCAAGACAATAGGAAATTAGATGGTGGTTAAGACAACAGCGTAAACTTGATACAAAAGCTCAATAAGTCGCCTAACATCGCAGTTGAGTATGACAGAAGACAGCCAATCTTCGCATGTTTAGTAAAGAGCAGACAGTTTAGTCAGAATGGCTGCCCGAGATGACAAACAGAACCGAAATCTGGATCAGTGAGGATTTTGGCTAGAGGACGGTTGATGTTGTTGGACTAATTATGTGTCCCTGAAGCCAGGCTCACTTCAGTCGGCGCGGGGTCAGGTTCTGCAAAGTTCTTTCTCACAGAACAAGTCACCATATGACATACCTGCAGCTGTGCGGGACTTCTTGAACTTGTTTATCAAATTCATCTGCGACGATAGCCATATCCCTCAATCTAGACGTAACTATCTATCCCTAACATGCACCTAAGATGACTTGATAGAATTACAGGATAGTTGAAACTGCTACAGATGAATCCTGCGCATCTGATTACCCTAGTGAAGCTGAAAGCTGTATGGTAGTGGCATCTGGGCCCAGTCGATAGTTAATCGAAATAGTTGGGTGTTTTGCGCAGCCTTGTTTTGGGGTGATTGCAAATTGATTACGTTGTATTATACTAGTACTGGTGGTATGTATTACTGATTGATTGATTTTTATTCAAGTTCGACCGCTGATATTCCGCAGCTTTGCCCGGAAAGCGGAGTGGAGCCAATAGGCAAAGCGTCAACGTTGAATCGCAAAGCCCTACTTCGTCCAGCTGTCCATGAATTTTCAACTTTGCTATATATTTATTCTATGGTTAACACCCTCAATGGTCTTATATTGTAATTACTGGTGGAACTCTTGTTGCAAATTACTATCAATTTGACTGGTCATCTCATAAGCTAATGGCCCTTGGGCACAATACCAAAATTTCTGCCTTTCGCTCCGATCATCCAATGTGTCACCTTCACAGGCTGACCAAACACGCAACCGGCCGGGTCGCCCAAAAGATCCTCCCAGTTCCGGCTTCTTTGCCCCGCTTACAACCAAGCGCATGGTGGTGCTGGTTGGAAATGTCCCGGCAAGGGCAGTTTCGGACGTCCTGGAGCCGCTCATCTGAGGGTTGTTTTACTTTAGTCAAGGTAATGCTTATTCTAACTAAGCTTACTGTGATTGGGACGACACTTAGTCCAACACAGACCTGCCGCCGTCTACAGTTTGTATTGTTTCCTTCGTTTTTTTCAATCCATTGCATGTGTCACTCTTGGGTCGTATGTTAGATAGCAATAAATTGACTCAGTGGCAGATGATAAAGGGTTCGTTATTAACTCAAAAGAAGTAATGCGCGCCTTATTTTAAACATGTTTTTCGAAGTGCCTACAGTCGTTCTTCATGCCTGAGATGTCTGCCGTCCTATCCGATTTCTAAATTGTCTGCCGTAGCACCTGATACTGCAGGTATTATCCTTGCACCCGAGAGGTTCGGGTGCCATGTTAATGATGTGAAGACAATCTACCATCTCTACTCAACCAGGTGGACTTCCACTTTTTTCTACGGTAACGAGAAGGGGCAAAGCGTTGTGCTAAATAAGGGATAGTGTATCGGCAGAACCAGGGCAGTCTCGTACGTAAGTCGCCAACATGACTGACCGCCCTCTAAACTTCGCTTAGCGTCAGAATAAATGGAAGTCCCCTTGGTTGAGTAAATACGGGTACCTACTGCAATGTTTTGAGTGGGGCTGGACAGCGGCATGAAAATTCCGAGAGCCGATTGCCTGATTAGTGAATCTGGTCAGTAGACCAGACCTGGCTATTTACGCGTTTCTCTCCATACTTGAATCACAGCCCGATTCCTCTCGAGAGCGATGTAGACTATATGCTGACGACTTCGTTATAGCGGATTCAGACGATTTTAGGTGCAGCGGGCTGGACGCAGGCATTAGCTTCGAGGACGTCAAAGACCACGCCCACGGGTTATCAGTACCTACCCTGGTCCATTTAGATTGTTCTACCGGTAGTGCTTGTTGCATGTCAGCGTGCATTTAGTCGCGTGGGGTGACCGGCATACACACTATAATACAGGCTCGGCGAAAGCTTGTTCTAATGCTTCCCTCGTTCGCGGGACTGCTCCACAGTGACCTTCGATAGATCGTCGCAGGGACATAGGTGGAACCCGCGGCAAGGGATTGAAGGTTGCCATGGAAAATCAATCCACAAACTGCTAGATCACTAACGTAAGATTTTGTCGAGCCTGAGCCATGTTCTTGCATGCTGCGATTACACCGATGTCACCCTTGCCTGCGGAACAGGACATCAGTAGGACCTTTTGTAAGATGGTTATAAAAGCTAGTGTTTGTCTCTCATGTTTACTCATGCAGTCGACATCGCAATTCATTCGTTTCTTCCATCCTTTAAACCATAAAGTCACTCCTTGCCAGCTCTTTCTAGCGCCAAAACCGAAACCATGGTTGCGTTCACTTACTTGGCCTTGGCCGCCTCGGTCATCACCAGCGTCTTTGCGTCTCCCATCGCTAGCCCTGACGCACCTGATTTCGAGCTGAGCTCCTCCAACCTTGCCCGTCGCCAGGACTACACCCAGAACTACAAGACAAGCGGCAGCATCAACTTCAGCCCTCGTCAAAGGGATACACTGTGCAGTTCTCAGGTGCCCAGGACTTTGTAGTTGGCAAAGGCTGGAACACAGGTTCCAAGAGCAGGTAAGACCTTAGTACCAGATTCCATAACCCTCTCTGTCTTACCTTATTGACCATGCACAGATCTGTTACCTTCTCTGGCTCAACTTCGGCCAAGAGTGGCACCGTTCTAGTTTCACTGTACGGCTGGGCTACCGGCCCGTTGGTGGAGTACTACGTACAGGAGTACAGCAACGGACAGGGTGCTGCGCAGGGGCAGAAGATGGGATCGTTCACAAGCGACGGATCCGAGTACGACATCTACAAGCACACGCAGGTCAACCAGCCCTCTATCCAGGGCACAACTACCTTCACGCAGTACATTTCCGTGCGCAAGAGCGGTCGCCCTAACGGCGGTACTATCACCTTCGCCAACCACGTTGCTGCTTGGGAGAAGCACGGCATGAACCTTGGCACCATGAAGTATCAGACCATTTCCACTGAGGGCTGGGGCAACGCTGCCGGATCGTCCAAGTACACCGTCTCGGGCAAATAAGAGGTCCTCGCTGGCTGGTTCTGAAGGTTTCAGGTACCGACAATCGGGCATTGACCTTCGAAACGCGGACATCTCGTAGGTTTACTCTTGTGGGCTAGGGAGGGAGTTTTTGGTTTTACTATATCTTTTTCTTCTCTTTTCTCACCCCCAAGCGGGTCACTCCACTGTTTTTACTCATCATAAGCTTCTGGCAAAGCCGGGAATCGCACATACGTAACACATCACATCCAAATGATCGATTTTATCGCATCTGCCCTTTTCGTGTTCCGATTGCGGTGGTATCAGTTGTGGTCTCAGGGCAGAGGTAAGCCGGATGAGCGAAGCAAAAGCGTATAGGTCTAACCCCGGTAGCAATAGAAGGACACGAACGACAAACGGTGTATGAGAGCATCTTGCTTTCTCTCCCAATTGTGACGGTTGCAGGGAGGAACCGTGTCTTGCCATGCCTGTGTTTCCTTCGTCGTTGGTTTCGTATTGTGTCAAGAACCCCTAAGAAGAATAAAAAGGCGAGAGGATGGTAAAATTGAATGGAGCAGGGCTAATTCTCAGCTTGGTATCTGAAAACGAAGAAGCCAACGTGATGACGTATGCATCGCGGACAACCTGTTGAGTAAGCTAAGATCTTATGAGGGTATGATGTGTGTAGTCTTGCTGGGAGAAACGTTGAGATTGAGATCTCGGTAGTTGGGTTCAGTTCGGGCCGGAACGTACAACGAGAGAGAGCTGAGTTTCAAGACTTCCTCTGGTTGCAGCACCTGTTGCAAAACGAGGTGGGGAACAGGGCGTCAGGCTGAGGTTGAGACATATTCAAAGCCGGAATCGTGATCTTGGTCATCTTGACGGTGATGCTCGATCGCTCGGACGAGTCGGATGGGGCAAGGAGACATGGCGGCGCTCTTGTTGAGCATTGGTCGAGCTTCGGTTTTAGTAGGAGGTGTGCCCAGCCCGGCCTTCCCGGCCAATTGGGGATAGCGTTGCGGATCGGCGAGGCGATTGCGGGACCCAGAGCCGAGAGCTGCGGCGGCTGGAATGGTTTCCCGATTCCTTTCGGTCGGGACAGGGCGTGGGATTCAGTTGACACTTTGAAACCTAAATAGTGTGGCTGCGGTAGCTCGGCGGCCGGCAGGGGCGTACTTGCCGAGAAACGGTCTGGTTACCTGGCCGTTGGGTAATTCAATGTTTTTCTCGACAATGACAGTATCTTGGACCGACCGCACGCCTCAAGGTTCTTTCCTCCCCGCTGAAGAACAGAGAGGCCCAAAGTAGGCATGACGTAAGATTGGTAAGATTGGAGACGTCTCGTCGTTGGGGAGGAAGCAACGGTCCCTCCCCACAAACTCACCCATACCACATTCGAACGTTATTACTAATCAGACATGTCACAACCAGGTGGAAATCAATTTATCTCGTCTTTTCTTTTGAGCATTCCACGAAACGTGTATTTTTACACGTACGGTGACTTGATTAGAGCTCAAGAAAAGGGTTTGCTGCGTTGTATTGAGCGGCAGAAATTGTACCTGTCACCCTTATCCCCTCCTGTCGTCTTCTCTCACAGCATCCTCCGCTAACGAGTAGTCGTGGCAACATCCAAAGTTCAAGCTGATTACCATGGCGATAGCCAAGCAGGAACCTCGCTACTTTCGAGACCCTCATCCAAAACGTTTCTCAACACTCCACTTACAATTAGTTGCCGACCACGACGGTGGTCAATGGTACCCCTACGTTGCTAATGACGGGTGAGGGACAGCAAAGCCGGCAGGCCGGGATATTGTCCGGTTGCCGGGGGCGTCAAGGGAATTATCATGATTGGTATCACTCTCTACAGCCCCAAAGTGTCATTAACTAAGTGTTGTGACTTCTGTGTTTTCGAATATTACGGGAACCTCGTGGCCTTCATACGTCGTAATAACACACACGTCTAACTCGCCGCCGTCACACTCTGTCCTGTCTGCTGAAACTGTCGTACCATATCCTTATACGTCTCTATGATTTCTTCATCACTGGTCCCTATAGAATAGAACACTTGCGCATAGCGTGTGAGCCGGGTCCGCACCGTTCTCCAGCAGCAATCTCACAAGATCCTAGTCCATGGAGTTCTTGGCATGTGATAATGCTGTGGCCTCATGCAGTCGGACGGGCATCTTTACCAATGGAATAACTAGGGACCATCTATTCCTTTTCATCAGCATATAATTTCGTGACAAACCAATGATACGTGACATATTGAGTCGGAAACCAAGTGCACTTGGAGTGAAGGATACTTACATTTTGACCGCCCTGTTGATATCCCCACCAAGCTCAATTTAATGTTGAGCCATGACGAACCGGTTGGAGAGAGTGGGATACTCCAAGTCAGGTGTTTCTTTGCAAAGCTACTTTAGGTATTCTCCATCCATCACCTTGACAGCCGCCGGATGAGGCCATCGCCGGACGAGGCTGTGCAAAGGAATACCGTATTCTAGTTTGGCTCCGCGCGATACTAGTAGAGTCACGGCATTCGTGGCGCCGAGATTGACCGCCATCGTCAAAACATGCCCCTGGAGCCTCTGAACAGGCTGTTCGAAGATGCTGAAGTAGGGATTGCGCCATACATCTCTTCCTATGGTTAGATCTGCTCCGGCGTCCAGGAGAAATCGCAGGATATCCATATCCAGGATGCACCGTGGATAATGCAGCGCAACCTCCTGGCACGGGAGATAGTAGGGCGGCCGTGCTTTACCTCTCTGCAAGGGGCCGAGCAGCTGGTTCGGGTGCCATGCAGAGTCAACGAGAACTCTCAAGAGGTTGAGAAGCTCGGAACTCCCGCTAGTGAAGATGCTTTGCGACACCGAGTCAGACTTTACCCAAATGTTGGTACTGTCATAGAGGTCTTCCTCAGGAAGGCTGTAGGTTCTGGCAGGCCTCCTACAGGGCGTAGGAAAGATCGGCGGGTGTCGGAGTAAACTGGTCGACGAATGTACGAATGCAGTCCAGGTCGCCTTCCGCGCAGGACCTGTAAAATGACCTTGAAGCATCGTCGTCGTGGTAGCCAGGCGCATCGTCACCCTGCATTACATACAGAGGACTGGGCAGCTGAGGCGGTAAAGGCGGTAAGTGTTGATACATGAGCTCGACCTGCTGAAGCCTCTTGCGTACTCCTGCGATCTCGTTCGCGGCGCGCTCCTCTTCCAGGTCCTTCATGGCCTGCACCCAGGCTGACGGATGGGGCACCTGAGTGAATTGGGAGGGCTGCGGTCGGTGGTCGGACATGGTGTTGTACCGACTGAGTTCGCTAGTTTCGGTGAGTGAGATGGAGAATGAGTCTGGAGTTCCGGGCAGCTGACAGTTTGTAGTACGTAAAATGACTTATTTCTGAGAAGTTGCGGAGCGTAGGCTACGTTGACTCGAAAGCGCAAAAGGGGCAGCGGATGACCTCGGGCTCTTATCATTTCGACTGCCAACCAATGCCAAAAGATAAGTACATGCGGAGTAAGGTAGTGCAGAGTTTCGGGGTTCTTTGGCTTTTTTCGGTCCAATCACATAATACATCCTTGCACAAAGCGGATTTATTCTTGGCTCTCGAGTGGCCTTACGTGAGGCACAACATCTATTTTTGGCGAAATCTTAAGACTGAGGTTGGAGTTGCTGCTCTACCAGGACTTGGCTGAGTCTTCATTGCGGCACCAACGAGCGGGGGCGGAAGCCGGCGTCTAACGCCAGCAATCGGGGGCCCGGGGCCGCGGCGAGCGCGGGGCCGCGGCGAGCGGGGGGCCAGCGGCCAACAGAAACAGCGCCCCGTCTATCAAGTGTTTTTGATAGTGGAACAAATGTACCTGACGTGCTGAATAATCCGCTGATGTTATCTTAGGCTTTCATTAGACTACACCGCGCACTTAGGTTGCCTGGGTATGCTGTACAATCATAGATTGTGAAGCTATACCCCGTGTATCATGTGAGGACCACGACTACAAAAGACATCGAGGTTTCGGCCCCAGCTGAATCCAGCCTCGCAAATAATGGAGGTCAACTTCTGAACCAGCTTGGCAGCTCATATCTCTTATCTGCCATGCCAGTATGCCAAAGGCCTCACGCTGGGGGCCATCTTTTCTCCTGCTCAAGGCAGAATCATGGGTTGAGGATATTGGAGGCGTAGACCCCAGCATTTGCACAACCGCGGACACGTGCGGCTACCTTAATTGCAAATCTGAACAAGATGAGGCTTGCGCCGATGGCATATGCAAGTGCGTGGAGAAGACGTGCTCAAACGTTGATTCCTGCGGGTTCCTCGTTCTCTGATACCCAGGAAAAGTCTTGCAGCGACGGCAGATGCAGATGCAAAGACAAACTAGCGCCGGCGCCGACGTTCATATCCGGCCTTTGCAACACTCACATCAGGATATACGGCAGCGAAAAGCGCTTTTCTGCTAGTATAGTCGCATACGACGGCTCGGGGACAGAGCTTTACAGGAATTCTGATCTCAACACGGAACACTCGGTAAGCAAACTGTCAAGTAGGTTGCTCAGAGAGACACTAATCGAGTTGTGATACATAGTGGGGTGACACCATTACACTGGACACCGGCAAGCTTCCTTACCTACTCAAGTACGAGTTCCTCGATAAGTGGCTCGGCAACGCGCAGAAGCGCGATCGACCTCCACCGGGCTCGATCAGACCCGATCCCCTCAGATATCAGACCTACAGCGTCAGGATCACGGCGGGTGACATGGTTTGGAGCGCCATGGACGACGACAAAACTAGACAGATGGTGCCGAGGTGTGAGGTTGGCAACTGCGACACTCATGGCACTTGGGAACCGGGCGAGACTTTCAACGATTTCATTAAAGCCAGTCTAGGCCACGGTGAAAAGGTTCCAGTAAGTACCATTCGTGCTTCTGATTTCCGTTCATTGGGTATTGACTTATGCGCGCGTACAGACAAGGGACATGGATTGTCGATGGCGGTGTTGATTATCTGTCACATCAACCCCGTGGTACAAACCTCGATCTGTCCTTTGAGAGGTAGAAAAGTGGTTATCTTAGAAACTATTTACGAGACGAGAAGTAGTCTCTCGAATAGGTTGCTGAATATCGTGAGTCGTGTGAGAAGTGGCTAACTTAGCCACCTGCGCCACTATCTCGTCTTGGAACTAAAGTTCACAACGGCGCAACATGGGCCTGCTCGGCCAAACTGCAGCTCCTTCCTACCGAGGATGAACAGCACGTCTCATATAGGAATAGAGCACGTCTAGAAGACTTACCCGTCTTTCCTTTTCCCTCACTTCATTGTTCTTACCTGCATCCTCCAGCCAGCTTGAGGCTACCAAATACAGCCAAACCGTCAAGATTATCAACCTAGAAACTTGGCGCGAAAGCTCGTTCACGCAAGACGCAGTAAATGCAACGGATCCGGAGTGGAAACCAAAACATGTGAAGCCTCTCAAGAAAATTGATACTTCTCTATCAATTCTCAAGTATCATACAGATACCTTAGCAGGAGCAGTACTTAGCTTTGAAGCGCCTTGCGCATCTTTGTCTTCACTTGAGCTATTTGGGCTGCAACCTGGTCGTTGACATATCCCTTCACGGTTTCCGCCATGTTCTCCTCGAGCCAGTTCCCCATGTAATCTTTCATCCTATCTCCCATGTAATCCTTCATCCAGTCCTCCATCTCATCGTGAATGTCTGGCATCTGTTTCCCAAGCTTCTCGCACTCGTCGTCAAGCTCGCCAGTATGGATAAGTAAAGACTCGGCAGTCTCCTCGGTTTCAACTTGACGCTTCTCCAAGTCACCGAAGTTTTCCTCCAGCTCATCATGCCGGCTCTCGAGCTCTTTGTTCCGCCTCTGAAGTGCCTTGATATCCTCTTGTAGCTGTTCGATTTGTTGGCGCTGCCACTCAAGCAGGAACTTCAATCTGCTTTCGGAGCAGTCCACATCTGCAAGTTGATATGGCGACGTTTCTTCTGGGCATTGGGCATTTCTTATAGACGCTATGGTTGTGCAACCGGTGGCACATGATTGTTTTCTTTTGGATGTTGGGGGCAAGTCAACGTCTTCGCTTCCGCAATGCCGCACGCGTTTGATAGCTCTCAACACGCTGTGCTGCCTTTTGGTGTCGTCATACTCCGGCGGGGCACAGTCGTCCCGGGGACTTTCGCCGGAGATGGCTGTAGCGTCTGACCTGGCCCTTGGCTGCTGTCCTTCGCTCAGGCATTCGTCATACTGTGGGGGTGAATCTTGGTAACGCGGGGGAGTGTCATCAAAGGCAACAGTGGTAGCGCAAGACTCAGTCGTGTCTACTGTGGCAGAGATTTTGTGGTCCTTATCTGGCAGGGGGCTACCATTTTGGTCCTCGGGTATGAACACAGTGCCACCTTTCCCATGATACAGCCTGCGCAGATTCACCATGCGGTCATACGCCCGGCGCTGCGCCAATGGCAGGGTCGGAAACTGCTCAACAGCCTGGGCGAAAGTTCGAAACAGCGTCATCGGTGCGACGTTGTGCGGCATGTATAGGGAAAACAACGAAGCGGTCGCGAGGGAAGTGGCGGAGCTAAAGGTGCGCCGTGCCGGGCCGTTGGGAGCCTCATCGAGAGTAAAACCGGTCGGCACGACAAGCTGGGCATAAATTCCGTTATGCAACTGGAACTGGATGCGGGTTACGAAACGCATGCCGCCCAGTTGCTGACGGACTTGTTCGAGGCAAGGCGGGCTTTGATTCCTCGTGTCGCTTGTGTCGCAAATCGTGTTGTGCAGCGAAGCGATACGGTCAGCCGTAATCTGCAGATAGATAATGGTTGTGGTGGAGGCGCCGTCGGCGATGGGGACACTAAGGCGGAAGAGAACCGATGCTGACGGTTTATACAGGGCTTGAAATTTCAAGGGCTGGTCGACAAATCTGAGTTGTCGTCCATCTTCATCTTCACGCACGACAAAAACGTCGTGGACAAAGCGCTTTTCCTCGCAGGATGACATGTCGTATTCGTTTTTATTCAACGTTCTAGATGTGCACATAGATGACGTAGCGGATAGGCACCAGGAGGGTTGATACTTACCGTGATCATGGCGTTGTCCCGTTCTCTCTTTTGCTGGGAGCCCGTCGCAGGCTTATCGTAGACAAAACGGGTTCCAGCGTCATCCCGACCCTACTCGGGGTGCATTGGGGGCTCTTGCGCGAGCAGTAGAATGACCAGGGCGACGGGTGACAGATCCAAGCGTGAATCCGCGAAGGTAACGCGTTGGATGAGTTCCGACGGGATTCCAGTCCTACTCACGCAAAGAGTCGGGCAAGCAGCCAGGAGCAGTTGTATGTCGGGGTAACGAGGGACGGGTCTATCCAGTGTGAGCGCGCGCGTAAGACGAGGACGGAAAGAGAAGGGATCCGGGACGCTGATGAGGATGGAGAATGAAAACAATATGGCAGATGGAGTTCGAATTGACGGGGCTGGCTAGCGGGCTCGTTTCGGCAGAATGTTATTCCGTGACCGGGTCCATGCCGTCCGCGACCCACTTATCGGGACGTGCGCGACTTTAGAGTCTTTTAGAGGATTGGTCAGACCTGGACATTCCACATCTGAGTAGTGCATCAACAACACTTGTTTGATTCCAATTGCAATGGGGAATGAAGGAACAATGGCCATGAAACCTTGCCCTGTTTCTTACCACCTAGCTACTGATTATAGCTTATTCTCCCACCGTACACCCCGACGCCGTTTTCCCACCTCTCTCAGGGCTTGGCGCGTGCTCAACTGGAACCAATACGGAGCAGCCTTATTCTTAAGACCCAACAAGCATAACATGACCAGGGTCGCCCCACAGCGCCCAGCGGTTACAAGACAAGTCATATGCGAGAACGCACGGTATTATGTCAGTCCCCTCCCGGACCGGAAGAACTAGGGAAAGTCACGTGAAGATAAGGAAGGATCAATAAACGATAAGCGGCCCACAGTCCAGGACCAACATACCAACAAGCAACACTGAAGTCTTTGAAATCAGAGTACCCACTGTTAGCAGCTGTTAAGACCATAGAGGGCTACGGCCCACCACACTATCATTTCTCATCATCAGCCCACGCAAGCTGAATCCCACTATCATGGCCGTCTCCCTAGATGTCGGGCTAACTATCACAGTCCACAGGGACGCTAATACTTTTTGACGGTTAGGATAAGTCCAAAAACCAACTATAAAGGTCAGAGTAGTTAAGTAAGTTAGCTACTAGGATAATACTAAGCTTAAAGATAAGATTAATAAGCTTTTAAATCTTGTCTAAGACTTCTTATAATAGGACGCTAAAAGAGAATAATTCTTAAAAAACTACTTAAAAAAGATTAAATCCTTAGAAAGAGAGCTTTAAGAGGAGAAGTAGTAGTTAGACTAGTATTAATAGGGTCTAGTAAGGTCTATATATATTGTTAATATAGGACCTAGTAAGTCTACCCTGAGTCTCTAAGGGTATCCTTTATATATAGCCTAGAACTAGTTAACTTTAGTTTATTTTTATATAGTAGTAATAAGTTAATTATTAAATAGAAAATAAAATAAACTAAAGTTAATAAAATAAGCTATAAAATAAGCCTAAAACCAAATAACTTTAAAAGACTTATATATTTTTATATATTTATTACTTAATAACTTATTTTATAATAAAAGGGCTTATAATATATATGTTTTTATTTAAGAAAAGCTAAGTCCTTAAGCTTAAGAAGCTTTTAAGGGAATTAATTATATAAAGATAAAATTAGTACTTTTGCTTTTATTAGTAAATAATATAAAAGCTTTATTAGAGAACAGAGAATAGATTACTACTTTTCTTTAGGTATAAATAGTTAAGTAGTATAATACCTAGATCTAAGCCTATATTATAAATATCTCTTATACTAGGTACTATTTAATAACTAATATTAAGCTAAAGATTATAACTAAAAAGCTTCTTAAAGAGATATAGATTATAATAAAACTTAAGCTTAAAAAAGTATACTTTTTTAAAAAAGATAAAGTTAAAAAGCTAAGTATAGTAATAGCCTAGTTTAAAGTAAATACTATAAAGTAACTACTAAGACGTTTTTGTCTAATAAAAGCTAATGTTTTTATAAACCTGTAGTTTCTAAGAGAAAAGAGGTCTTTTTAATGTTACTGCTATAACAGCTTTTATAGTAAATAAACATATAACGTACATGCATAGCAAGTGGCCCATCATAGCAAGTGGCCCACCTCTACCTACCCTCTAGCTATTTATATAAGTCAATCAAGCAGTATTATACAAAATTAATTAAAACTACTTATTATCCTCTTCTTTAGAGGTCTCTTATATTACCTAATATATTTGTATATTATGTCTAGTCTTTCTGCAATTACTATATTACTAACCGCGTAATTCACCCCCCTTTATACAAGCCCCCTCTTGACGCGTATTTTCGCCTTTAGCATTAATAACCCTTTTCTTTACCTAGATTACTTTTGCTTTAGCTATATTAAGGGACCCTCTAAGACGTAGTTAGGTTTTTTTAGCCCTTTAACGTTTACTTAGTATCTTATTTACTATATAAAGCCTATAATACTTAACTTTAATAAGAGCTAATTTACATATTAACTTACTAATACCTTTAGCTTATAAGTTAACTACTTTATATAAATAAGTTAATAAACTATATTAATAACTAATAATCCTTTTTTTAAGTAATATAAAGCTTTATATAATATTATATACTATAGTTGGTATCTTTAGGTCCTAAGAGCCTTAGCTGCTTAGGCATAAGTTAGATAGTATTAGCGTCTTTAGCTTAAAATCTAAGCAAAAAATAACTATTTCTAGGTTAAAAGGGACAAGGCTAGCTTATTTAAAGCCAGCTTATATATTTTTTTTATTTATTAAAGTAAAAAAAGTTACTTTAAAAGTAAAAAAAAAGTTATTTTTAATAATATATATAATTTATATTTATATTATTTTCTTAAGCTCTTTATTATATAACGCCTTTAATAAACTAAAATAGTTAATATTAAGAGGCTAAAGCTTATATAATAAATAAAAAAATATATAAAAAGTAATAATATTATATTTTTTATAATAATTATTAAACTTAGTAAACTTATAACTATTATAGCTATTAAAGATTAAAAGGTACTTAATACTCTTTATATAAGACTTTATATACTTTTTAAAATATTATAACTAATTTAAGCTAATCTTATTTATAGTCTATTTATTTTTACTAAGGTAAATATACTATTAAGGTAAGAATTAGCTATTAGTATACTATAAAAAGAGGTAATATTTACCTTTAATAATAACGTATAGAGGTAGTACCTAGCTATCTGTATATATACTTTAAATAACAAAAACCTATTCGTAATTACTAGGCTACTTTATACAAGGCCTTCTATAGCAATCAAAGGTTATAACAACTTTTGTATATAATAGTATTCTTATTAAAAAGCCTATCTTATTAAAATTATAGATATTATTATTATAGATTCTATATTTTATAATTATATTTCATATAAAAGTAAACTAGGCCTATATAATTATAAGATCCTTAGCTAATACCCTCTAATAATTAATTCTATATTAAAAACATATCTTTAGTTATAATTAGCGTTATATAAAGTTCTTTACCTATCAAGGTCTAACACACATCACATTATATTTATTAAAAAGGTAATTAGCTATATCTTATATATTATTAAGTCATAATAGAAATCCTTAATTAATTAGGTTAATAACTTATTTAAGAATCATTATTTCTTCTAGCTTAGTTATTTTTATTAATTTTATATAAGTCTTATAATATAATAATTATTTAGTGTATTAGTATTAAAGTATTATTCTTAAGATATTATAAATAAAAGCTATTTTTTGTATAGATGGTTTTAAGTCTTTTTTAATAGCTTTAATTACAAAAATAATATAACTTTTATTTAAAAAAGAACTTATTATTATATATAAAGAAATATTAATATAAAGTTAAAGTTTAAGGAGAAAAGAGGAAGTAGGCTACTTGCTATAATAGGCTACTTACTATGCATATACATTACTAGAAGAAAAAGATATTTTAAGTATAGCTTTCTCTTCTATATAACTAACTTACATTAGGTACCTTATAGTAATACTAAGAGCTATAATAGCTATAACTACCCCTTTAAATACTTATTATATAATAGCTTTTACTTTACCTTTAATATAACTTACTTTATTAAACTTAAAGTAATAAAGGGTATAGTTTAAAGAAGAAATAAAGTATAGCTATAGGTTATTTAAGCTAAGAGAGAGAAATTATAGAGAATTATAACTTAGTAATTATATTAATATTCTTATAAAGAAGAATAAGTAATAGACTATACTTTAATAAATAAGATATAGTAAAAGTAGATAGTCTTTTAGGATACTATAAATTATATAAGTAAACATAACTAGATAACTATTTATATATAAAATAGTACTAAATTTAGCTTATATAGCTTATGTTAATATACTACTACTATAAGAGCCTACTATCTACTAAGAAGAGAAAAGGCTTATAAGATATTACTTAGGTTTTAAGATTTTTACTCTAGTAGATAACTAGGTTAAAAATAAACCTAAGGTACTTATTTACCTCTATAGAAGAATAGGACTATAAGGCATATAAATACACTTACTACCTAGCTTATCTATAGATCTACTCTTTCTATAACTCCTAGTAAGAATATAGAAAGTCCTTATAGTTATTAACGTTTATAACTCTTTTTATAGCTTACTATAACTTAGTTAAGTAGTTAAGGATATTATAGTAGCTTAATAACTAAAACCTAAGAATTAAGTACTAATTATAAAAGATTTTAACTTATACTATTAGACCTAATAGCTTAATGCTATAGGCTCTTTTAATACTAATAACCTAGTAGAATAAGCTAAAGCTACTAGCCTTGTCTTACTATTATTAATAGGTAAAGCTATATATAAAGATATTAACACGTTAGACCTATACTAGGCGTCTAGT